ATATATTATAAAATAAATATGTTTAGGACAGAACAAAGAAGTACCCAAATTGAAATGAAGAATAAAGAGACTATTGCAAAGTCAATAGTATGCTTTCATATTGTTGCATTTTTTTACTTCTGACACCAGTTGTTACGTTATTTTCTTCCTTCACGTTCGTACGGGGTTCGTATGGATTTGGAGTGAATAACGACGACACTTGATGAAATATCGAAACACACTTTATTTAGCCAATATTAATCAGGACAGTTCCAAAATCACGTTTCACAGTCGTAGAAGAACTACTATAAACACGTTGACACAATCAGCGACAGAGCCTTCACACTATCAGGGTATAACGGTCGAGACAGCTTCGCTGCAAAGCACCAGAATACAGCTCCCGACTCTGCTTGGTCATTCTCGGAACTCCACGTACTTTCGAGACTCTCAACGCTACACTTCGCGATGCACTCGACGACACACAGACTCGCTAGACTAGGATTGACTAAAGATTGACTCGCTAGACGAGACACCAACTCGATACTATCTCACACTCTAGACGAGGCACACACTAACTGACAGCGGACCGGCAGGGTTTATATAGCTTTCGGCTTGTGTTCGAGAACATTCTGGGCTAAACCGGTAAGAATTCGTTTCAGAAGGTTCCCCATCCGTACATGGCATATCGCGAATTTTGTCGCTAAATGGCGCCAAATGGGCGATTTTTTGCCAAATGGGGCAACCCTAAAACTGTTTTGCGGAGAAGCTATCGTACCGCGCATGTACATTTCGTAAAAATATTTTTTGTCTTGAACACTAACACTTCGTTATTGCTTCTCGGCTTAGCTAGATTGCTGCTACGCTTCTCTCTTCTTAACTCAAAGATATCAGAAACTGAAATGTTCCGAAGAGGCGCGATTAGAGTGCCAAGTTATTTGTGGCCGAAAATATCAATTAAAAATAAATAATAAATTTCCCTAAGCTGCCAAGTTTTTTCTTCATTGTGCATCTTTTGTGTAAGCTTCAACATCCATCTATGCAATCACCATTTCTATGTATATATATATGTGTGTGTGTGTGTGTGTGTGTGTGTGTGTGTGTGTGTGTGTAGAAGCAAAAGTAGAGTTTTGTGTAATTCCAGATAGGTCGCCCCTTATGCATCGTTTGTTTTAGACCTTTAAACTTAACCTTCAGTTTTATGTAATTCGTGTGCTTTCCATATTCTAATTAACTAGCCAAACGATATCTTTTTGTTTAATGCAATATGGTTATGTGACGTTCCTTAACTGGCTATATGACTAAATTGGTGAAGATCTTATTATTCTTAGGTGATTTATCGCGAATTTTCTTATTGTTCTTTAATTAAGAAAAACCAGGTGTAAGACTAAGGTGGTAGGTATTTAAGAATTTTATCAATAATAAGGAAAATTAAAAGTTCTTATACCGTTGTAAATCCTTCTGCTAAAAGTTTCCACAATTTTTGAAGAGCTGTTCTAATGTCAGCTATTAGAAAATTAATTCTATCTAGTTCCATTTTTGCTACTTGTCTTCTTTTCTCCTGCTCATTTTGCCTTGCTTTTGAAGTTATAAGTTCATCCTCAAGTTCTCTGAAAATAAGTTCAATTTCAAAAAATATTTCTATGTTTCGGTTTAAAATTTATTTACATAAAGACATTTGCCAACAATTTGAAAAGTTTGCCAAGGTCTGAACAACAGCTGGGGGCTGGGACATATATATCCCGAGCAAAGTGTACGGCAACTGGGGGCTCGGGACAGTTTTTCCTTGGTCGCAGGGGTAGGAATTCGAACGCTTGAGGCTTGACGACTATTTTACGACACCCTAACGAGTGCGTTCTTTTGTGGGTTCCGCTAATGTGTAGGGGTAATTGTCCGTAATTTGAACCCACATGGCTTGTTTTCGAATTCGGTGTCTTCCGGGAAATATTTTCTCAAGAGGAGAAAATAAAAAGAATAATTTCTTACTTTGATTCTCGCGCGTTTGCGTTTTAAGACCTTTCCTCAATTTTTTTTTTTTTTTTTTTCTTTCAAATACCGTTATAAATTCTTTCAGTTGATATTTAACATTTTTTCGTGTTCGGTATTAAATAATGACTAAACGTAAAGGAAATTTTCTTTGTTCTCATTCTTTTTGTAATTGTTTATTTCAATTTATTCCAGTTTTTAATGTGCATGTAAAGGCAGTGTAATGAATATAAACGTTTCAGGTGATGAAAATTAATTTTAATGTTATTCCTAAATGACATGCATTCGCGACTACTATTTACTTGAGTGAAATTTTGGTTTGTTATGTTCTAAATTATACGAGTAACTAGCGGCTGAGCGGATAAAATTTCTTTAACACTGATAATTCAACACGGGTTCAAATTTCGATGAACGGATTGACTGCATGAACCTTTCGTATTCGTTCATGTATATGAGCCAATTTCCTGCGAACGTCCTCCACGAAAGCCCCCTTCGATTAGGTAGATAATCTTTTCTTTAATCAGACGAATAAAAATAAAATTATATTCGAAATAAGAAAGCTATATTTATGAGCGTCTCATAATTATACCCTTCCTTTTATGAATAATTTTGATGATAAAATGAATTTCGACTGTGCGATAAATGAAACACGAATTTTTATTAAAGCAGTTAGTGAAGAACATTTTATAATTCAAAATTTAAAAAAGTTTCAAAACTTATTAATTTATCCATTGTTATATATGTTTGCGTCTATAATATGATGTCTGTACAAATTCTTTCAGAAAGTAGATACGTTAGTTTATATTAATTAAACATGGGAAAACACACAAAGGCTGCCTTCCTAAAGGAAAGGATGCCTGCCTAAGGAAAAGGATGCTTTCGTGAAGAACTTTTAAGGGAAACTATCTCGTATTCTCGTTTCACATGGGGCAAACAACGAAAACCAACCATGCAGCCAAACCGATCGCCTGGCCTCGAACCCAAGTCGAAGTACCAGTATCCAGAGGTCTTGACCACTCAGTCGCAAGTAGTGTTCAGAAAGTAATTAATTTTTACATGAGAATTGTGTTTTGGAGGTAATCAAACGATATATTAGGATACTAAGGATGTACAGAGTAGTTGAGATGTGTACTATTCTTAAGTTCCTTTAATTCAATCCTCAGTATGATTCTTTATTAATATTCATCAACTCAGTACGAATTTTCATTCCGAGCTTCATTACTCCGAAAGAAAGCAACGATAAAAAGCTTGAGATCTGAAAATTTCGCATAACAATCTGATACCTCAAACGCGAATTTAGCATTCTGAAAATGTAGATCATAAAAACTGAAGAAATATTTCTCCATTCGACAAAAATCTTTATTTTTTGAAATTTTTATAGGTTCCTGAACATGCAATTTTGCCTTTAAAGAAAAAATGCAGCAACAATAAAATCGATGAACAACTATTTCCCTTCTATTCTAAGGTAAAAGTAATATATAATATCTCTAAGCGGTAAACCTAAATTTTTGTTATTGAATGCATTGAAACTCAACAAGGATTTTATTTTCTAAACCTCCAGTGTTTCCTTCTGCATTTCTTTACCGAACCAAAAACTGTGAAGCGGTTAAAAAATTTAAAGATCTTATAACCCTAATATGAAGGCAGATCAAGCCTGGGAACACTATTTGCAATGTCACATGGAAGAAAAATTTATTCAAAAAAATTCTTACTTCGTGCATTGGTAAATTTTTGTTAGTGCATGTTTGTTAGTGTTGTTCAATAATGATTCAATGGAGTACAAACGCAGTTACCAATTTCTTTTTCTCCAGAAATGAATTTTACAGAGGTGTGAATCCAATAACACTCATTTGGGAACTCGAAAATGCTTTCTAAATGACACTTGTAATAATTAAACTGCGAACTTGTAATAATTAAATTGTATTTAATTTGCTCTTCAATATCAGGATAATTATAACACTTAAAATGAAAATCCATATATTGTTTGAAGGATATATTTGAATATTTTAAATCACTAAATTTTCTATACTGTGACAAGTGAATATAGGTAACTCTGATTACTTCACTTATTTTGCAGTATATAACCTATAAGTCATTTTAACCAAAAAATGAACAAATTGTCTAGTTGTAGCATAAAACATTTCGTCTGAAAATAAAACAATAAATTGCGTTTCGGGGGAAAACTGCATACATCTACCTGCAGTGTGAAAGTGATTAGAATACTTCCTTCATTCTAACGCCTAGAGCTTTGGAGCTAGACTGAAAATAAATACTGACCGTTCTGAAAAAATTTTCCCCCTTTCCATAACCGCTGAGCGAAGAGCCCCCAGTGGAGGAACACAACTATTTTTCGAGCCCACGTGAAAAGGTTAAATGCAAGAAGTATAATCAATGAATTATGCTGATATACTGTGAAGAACTCGACGAGTAGTTTTGTGAAAAGTTTCAGAACTGTGAAGTGTTCCTTTTGGCAAAATAAATTTTAAAAGCTATCACCAAGTCTGTCTGCATTCAATCCCACACGACCCCGTACGCACGCAACAATTTTTGGTGCCAGAAGTGGGATTGAATTCTAGTGACAGGATCGATGGTGAGCAATTAAATTAAGACAGCTTGTGACAGATTTTGCTGCATTCAAAGAAGAGATGAAATCAGGACAGGAATCCATTAAAGAAAATATGAAAGCTAACCGGGAAAAGATTGAAGATGAAAGCGAGCTAAGAAAAGATTGAAGCAGGTCAATAAAAAATGAAAAAAGAAACTACTGCTATAAAAGAAAACAAATTCGAGTCTATGAAGGCAGAACAGACACGGTTGAAGACAAAGTTGGAGGAATTACAGAAAGAGTTTCTTCTGTCGGAACAACAGATCGAAGAAACATTTTTTGCACTCCTACAAGAAATCGAGCAACAAAGCGATGATAGGGTTTGTGCTACTGTCGACAAGGAAGTTGAAAATTTAAAGTAATCCATAACGACAGCTGGTCACAATTCGAACTTTAAATTCGAATAAATGTGGTTCCCACTCTCTCTAAAGCTATCCACATATGATGGGAAGCCTCCTGGCGGTTGTATTAGACCCAATTTTCTATGGTGGTGGGCGCAAATGGGTAACATTCCGAAACTAAAGCCTTCTATCTTGCGGCTTTTCTGAGAGCAAAAGCAGCAGATATTCTTCAAATTCTTCCCGAAAACCAGAGATTAGACATCAAAGTTATATCTGGGCTGTTGGAGCTGCGTTTTGGGGGGAGGGAGAGTGTTTAAAAGATTATAGCAGGCTTCAGTTAAAATGTCGCCAACAGAAGTGCACGGAAACACTTCAGGAACTCGCCACGAATGTTGAAAGGCTATCTCCTCTCGCGTTTTCGAACTTTCCAACAAAAACAAGTACGGTCCGTGCAGTACTTCATTGATGGAATCCAGAGAAAGCACTCAGAATGGCGCATGTCATAGAATTAAAAAGCGCTTTAGTGTATGTAGTGAAATTGAAGGCAGCTCAGCAAGCGACTTGTAGAGACCGCCAAGCAATCAGAGCTGCTCAAGTCCAGGAGCCAGTGGATCAAGTGATTACTCCTCTAGACGATTTAACCAAGCAAGTCAATGCTTTGAGATAGAATACTAGTGACAAGAAACTGATCCTAAATTGCTGGAACTGCGGTGCCACGTACGAAGGAACTGCAGAACACTCAGGGCACAGAAAATAAGAGCACTCCTCAGCAAGAACGCAAGAAACAGATTAGTGGTCATCTCACGGAAGGAAGGCTGAAAGATTAGGCGAGCATCCACCAATCAAGCAAAATCCAAGCTAAACAAAAAGAGGGAGGAAAACTTCTATAGGCAACAAAGCGACGTTATCGGAGCTTCAGCACGTCCTTAGGCTTCTCCCAACGTCCTGGTCAGGAAGAAAGATTGCTGAACTAACTGTTTTCCGTAGACTATCCGCAGTTGAATGACTTAACGAGGAAAACCCTCTTTCTAGATATGACGACATTCTGAACACATTTTCAAGCAGTTTTCGACGCTAGATTTAAAGAGTGGCCATTGGCAGGTAGAGATACACCCTGATGACAGTGAAAAGACAGCTTTTAATACTGGACAAGTACTTTGGCAGTTCAAGGTGATACCGTTTGGATTATGTAATGCGCTAGCAACATTCTTACTCTCATTGAGACCGTGTTGGAAGGTCTTTCCTGCGAAGCCTGTTCGATAAACCTCAATGACATAGTCATCATGGGGAAGAGTTTTGAAGAACATTTAGAAAATATTAGTAAGGTGCTTCAGAAACTGAAGGAAGCCAATCTAAAGTTACGCTCCTCCTAATGTAAACTATTTAGACAGGAAGTGACTTATCTTGAACATGCCATTTCTGCCGAAGGTGTGTGTACAGATCCAGAACAAGTATCAGTAGTTAAAGATTGGAAATGGCTCGAAAATGTCCATCAGCAGAGGAGTTTCTTCGGGTTTTACACCTACTGCAGGAGATTTGTGAAAGACTTCTCTTCTATCCCAAGACCCTCGCATAAACTGACAGAAAGAAAACAAAAGTTCTTCTGGACAGAAGAATAAGAGGATGCATTTGGCAATTTGAAGGAGGCTTAAATATCTGCTCCAATCCTGACCGTATCCTCAATACGACAAATCATTTATTCTTGACACGGATGCGAGCAAGAAAATGTCGGTGCTTTTTTATTCCAAGAAATAAACGGTCAAGATCGTGTCATACCATACTGGACTAAGTCTCTATCTAAAGCGGAGAGGAATTACTGTGTCACTAGAAAAGTGTTGCTCGCCATACGTAAAGCCGTAGAACATTTCCATCATTACTTCTATAAGGGAAAATTTCTGCTCTGCCCGGATCATGCGTCTTTGACCTGGCTCTTAAATTTCAAGAATCGTGAAGGCCAGATACCAAGTAAGATACAAAGGCTTCAGGAATGCGACATCACTATGCGTCATGGGAAGGGATCATCACATGGAAACGCTGATGACCTGTTTAGAAAACCCTGCCTAGAAAGCTGTCGATATTGTTCGAGGATCGAATCGAAATATGAGCTGCTTTGTCCGGTCGTAAGTCAAGTTACGAATCCAATATCGTCTGACCCAGACCCATGGAGTGACGAAGAAGTTAGGAAAGAACAGTTGAAGTACGGTGACATTAGTTAATTTAATCGAGTCTTCAAACAGGAAACCTACCTGGCAGAACATTTCGATATATAGTCCTACGTAAAACAATATTGGGCTCTCTGGGACTCACTCCATGCGAAACGACGTCTTGTACGGAAACTTCGAATCGGATGATGGTAAGGCATTCCAATGGCAGCTGATATTTCCAAGATCCTGGACATCCTTAAAAAGTTACGTAGAAGCCCTAAAAGAGGCCACTTTGGAATAATGAAGAGTGTGCACAGAGTTAGAGAGCGCCTCTACTGGAGTAATGCAAGGGGTGATGTGCAAAAGTGGTGCCAAGCGTGCAATGTCTGTGCAGGTCGGAAAGAACAAAAGAAACGCAGCCGAACGAAGCTGCAAAGTTACAATATAGAAGCGCCTTTTGAACATATCGCCTTTCACACCCTGGGACCTCCTCCGCGAACTGCTGGTGGCAACAAATACATTTTTGTTGTCATTGATTTCGGCACCAAGTGGTCTGAAGCCTATCCTATTCTTGTTCAAGACGCTGTTACGGTAGCAGAAGTAATGATACAACATTGGATTTCCAGGTTCGGAGTGCCTCTTCAGTTACATTCCGATCAAGGAAGAAATTTTTCATCGGCTGTAATTAAAGAACTCTGCAAGCTATTCGGCATTAACAAAACCTAAACGACACCTTTATATCCCCAATCAGACGGCATGGTAGAGAGGTTTAATGGAATTAAAAACCTCTCGTTGGTGGTTTTCAGAAACCAACAGGACTAGGACAAGAAGTTATCTGTGTTTTTACTGGCCTGTTGTAGTTCTGTCCATGAGACTACCGGCTATTCCCCATCTCAAATGCTCTTCATTCGTGACCCTCCAGATGCTCCTTCATCGCCTGAAGAGTTCGTCCAAGATCTCCAGGCACGACTGGAAGTGAAGCATATTTTGCACGAGAGCGGCACAGCTAGACGACGGAGAAGATGAAGACCTGATACGACAAGATAGCTACAGGACATCGATGCGACGAAACTGACAAGGTGTGGTTCTGGAATCTGTTTCGACGGAAAGGACTTTCTCCTAAACTTCAGGTATAAGTTATTTCTCCCACTTCTCTAGCTAGCCTTCATGGTGTAACGGTAGCACGCTGGGCCGGTGTTCCAGAGGTCCGTGGTTCGATTCCCGGCGAAGGCGGTTGCATATTTTTCATCCTTTCTGCTTCTAATTGGCCTAATGACTCTGCAAGTGGCGCCCGAACTAAAAGGGTTGTGGATGAGGATTCTCCGCATCCAGGATTTGGCGACTAGGACCCCTAAAACCCTAGTCGCCCTTTAAAAAGGGGAGTGTATAAGGTATTTCTCCCATTTCCCTAGCGTGCCTTCGTGTTGTACGGTAGCACGCTGGGCCGGTATTCCAGAGATCCGTGGTTCGATTCTCGGCGAAGGCGGTTGCATATTTTTCATCTTTTCTGCCTCTAAAAATATCCAATGGCTCGAATTCTAAGCCTAATTCTAAGTCATCGAATTCTAAGCCTAAAGTCGTTCAACCAAGTCGTTCTCGAGTCGTTCATTAAGACAGGCTAGCCTTTTACTATGAGCATAATACTTAGTACGTATTTGTATATAATTTAAATAGTATACTAAGATCATTGTCATATATGTTTATAAATTTGTAAATTTATGCACTTGATTTGTTTGCTGGTTTAGCATTTGATTTGTTTTATATTATTTATTGCAATTAGAATTCTGTTGATTTGTTCTTCGTTGTAAATATGACTTCTTGTTCAGGGATTGTGCTGCCCGGGACGTGTAGTCTTTCGGAAGGAGGAAATATTACGAATTTCGTATATAGATAGATAATTTTAGTAAAATTATATATGAAATTACTGTATTTCCTTCGTATAATGTAACATTAAAATCAAAAGTAGCGAAGCTTTGCCTGAAAAATAAGAATGCAAAGGTATAACATTGAGTAAATGGGTATCTCGATAATTTGGCGAAATATTGCCAAATTGGCAACGGTTTTGACAACTAATTTTTTCCGGCGCATTCAGAGAGTTATCGGCAAAATTCGCCAAACTTGGCGACATTTGGGTCCGATTCCTGTACCGCCGTAATATACTATATTGTAATTGAATAAATGTCATTGTTCACTGTATTAGCTATAACTGTGATTCGGTCCTCATATTGCCTTCCAGTAATTTCGGGAAGCAAAAAGTACTAGAAATATGAAGACGATCGTGTGAAAACTGTATAAGGCCGAAGAGAGTATGTACTCTGACTTGTTGTTGCGAGCTGTTAGTTCAGCGTGATTTCGGAGTACTGAGATATCTTCGTGTTAGCTTACTTTTTAGATGGGCTTTGCATTACATTGTGTTTAACATTCTTAGTAGTTTGAAGCGTAACCACTGATTGTCCATATTGTGAAGAGTTGTAGGAATAGTTTTTGGAAAATTGCATAACTCTGAAATGTTTCTTTTGATACGTTTGTTTCAAAAGAAATGTTTCTGAAATGTTTGTTTTCTTTTTGATCTGGACCTGTGTGCATTCAATCTGTTACGAATCCTACACACGCAACACTATATTTATATCTCAGATTCTCGAAAGATCTTGACAGCAAGAATTTCTAAAAAATGGCATTTCTCTCTAAATTTGTTTTGAAAAGAAACACAAAACTAAAATGTGGCTAAAAATTCTTCTAATCTTATCCACTTACCTTTTGGGGCAGGCTGCATTTGCATCACGTAATAGTCCCATTTTTGTATCCAATTGTCTTTTTTCTTCTCTAAGGTCATGTAGTCTTTTAATAGCCTTTTTTTTCAAGTCAAAGAGATCTTCATGCATTGTTTTCTGAGCTATAAACCTAGCATCTGCTTCCTACAAAACGTACATTATTTTAGATTTAATTCTAAGCACATTATATTATTTCATAGAAAGTACATGAACATGAAACTAAGTTGCAAAAATTTATTACCTATCAAAAGCCTGATTATTTTTCCATGATTTCTTATTGGCAAAAAAGTCATAATTCACATTGCTTATAATCCGGAATATAGTCAAAAAACGAAAACGAGCAAGAAATCGATATATCACGTGGAAATTAAATAATTTTTTTTTCAGAATAATGCTTAACTTAAATGTGCAGAAAAGGCAAACAAGGATTTGAAATCCTGAAGGAGTGCTGATTAACATGATCGCAGTGTAGAAAAGAAAGGAGTTTATAGCCTGTTCTTTCTTCTATATTTCCATGTAGTAGACAAGTTAATTAGCAATGATTTTGAGCTTCCATAAATCTCAGTGAACTACTATGTAAAAGTTGACATCTTATGCACCTTATTACCTGTAAATAGGAAGTGTTGCCGAACCTCGTGATCTTCAGTTTCAGTTTTATTTATTAGTTCAAAAGGCGTTAGCCAGAAAGGCTATTAATTTCGTTTTGGCATTTTGTGTTGAAAACTTTAAATGTCGGTTCACTTTTCAAATTGTTGCCACCAAATATTAGAGCCATGTATTACATTTAAGGAAACTAAATAATGAAGAACATGCATAAATGTTTGTTTGTTTCTCCCATTGTGACAAAACAACGGTACCTAGAGCCATCAAATTCTGAATAACGTACGTTTCCACCCGATTATGGGCATCTGGAAGCCCGAATTTGTAACTTGTTTTAATATTTAACATTTTGTAAAATTTTAACGAATTTTTGATTAACAAACTCAACAATTTCAGAACGAGTAATGGCAACACTGTACGGAAAAAAAAATCTTCATCTCCAGCGCGCGAAAGTGTGTATCAGAAATTCTAAAGATATGCTCATTTTAAAATTATTTTGCAATACTGCTGTTGAACTGAATTTTATGGTTTAAGTGCGAAGAACATGATATTTAATAAATAAAGGTAACACACAAAACGTTAAAAAAAAACGCTCCTTTGGCGTAATTCAAATCTGAAAGGTTTCAGATTTTTTTAAAGTTTTTTTTTTAATTTTTACATATTATACGTTCTTCAAATAAATATTTTTCATTATTAAAAAGATCTGATGTGGATACCTCATGACTTCCTTATACGGCCTATTAAAAGATACAAATGTTTTGCTGCACTTCATTTAATCTTATTTCCTCAAATTATTCTAACTTTATTAACCGAATCCTCAAGGCAAGTTTGAAATGACATCAAAAATTTCTAAATTTGAAATTAAATATCCCGGTTAGTTTTTGTTTGTCGGGAGTCAAACTTTTTGTATTTTTATTTTTTATAACGAGTTTTAAAACATTCCCAGATATAAGTATAGGAACCTGGAGACCGGAATAAATTTCGATTTCGTTATCTGTCCAAATTTATTATTGTTATTATTATTATTTTACTTTGACATTGCCAAAACATGAATATATTCGTCATTTAAAAGTGTTCTGTAACTGGAAATGTATGACTACAACCAACGATTGCGAAAATAAAGGCCGGGTGAGTACTATTTTAAGGAACGGTGGGTGTCTATATATATGTGTGTAATATTTTTACTGCTATGTCAATAAAATTTAATTGGGAGTTGGCTAGTTGGCTAGAGAAGACGAAACCAATCACTTTTTTAGTCATGCCTGAGATGGAAAAGAGTTCTTTATTCTGTCCTTACTTCCGGGTGTCACGCAAAAACATCATTAAATTGCATTGGATATCGTCTAAATCGATATTTTCGTTGAAATATGATACCCGAAGGTTTTTGCGATTACAATACTTCCTTTTTACGGTACTACTTTGGTAGACGGTTGCACGGATTTTGGCGATTTCTTGGCGATTTTCCTTTGGCGAGTAATACAACTTATGGTAAACCCATATGGATAAGTTATTTATGGTAACCGATACTTTGTTGTCATTTTATTTAAAAAATAATGCGTTTTATTGTGCATAAATTCCGTGTTTAAAATATTATTTATGGCTTCTAAATATTAAAAATCAATTAAATTTTGCATTTTTATTTCAAATAAAAATTTTATTGTTTATCATATTTTATGAAATTTTATTTTGTTGATGATGTAATCAATGACGTCACCTTACTTTAAAAGTAATTCGTTTTAATATGTATAAATTTAATCTAATGTTTTAAACATTATTTATGGCTGTTAAACATTAAAATACAATTTAATTTTGCATTTTTTTAAAACTGATTTTATTCTGTATGACTTTTTAAATAATTTTAATTCTAGCCGTGATGTAATAAGCTCTCAGATTGGTTATAGAATATTTGTGCATTAACGAGCTGTAATCAGCTCCCTGATTGGTTACTGACAATTTGTGCATTTCCGCGCCGTTTTAAAATTTAATTCATATCTTCGAATTCCTTCAAAGATGTCTTCAAAGATGTTATCTAAATTAAGATTCTGATTTTTTTTGTGGTACTTATCAATAAACAACAGGTTAAATACTCAAAAAAATGTAAGTACATATTTTTCTTTTATTTTTATAATTGTATACTTCAATTTTTGTTAAAAAAAATTAATACACTATTTTCAGAAATGGCTGAGATAATTATTGTCCATATGTTTTAATGTTAATTATATTCTATATAACGTATTTTAAAGTATTTGAATTTAATAATATTCTAATTCTTTTAAATGTTGGTATGAGGGTTTTTAATTCGATATTCAATTTCAGTAATATTTTAATCTAATTAAACGTTGGCCTAATGTTTTTATAGCGGTGTTTTTATTCTCTTCTTTGCTATATGAAAGTAATAATAACCTTACTTTACTATTTTATACTCATAGTAAATGTATTTTTTACACTTGCCTGCCATCTTAAAAAACGACATTTTACACCAAAAATTAATCCATTACTTTTAACGATATTTATTTATTATTTTTTTCTTTTAAAGTTTCGAATACTTTACTAAGCGTAAAAACAACGTTGTTCAAGATGGCTGACGTTTGTAAAAACCGCGCCAACAATTGCGCCAACGTAAATCGCCAAAAATCCGTGCAACCGTCTACCAAAGTAGCACCCTTTTTACTTCGCACAAGGAAGTAAAAGAGGCTAATTTACCCAGAATGTTCTTGTATAGTATCTGGATTCCAGTACCATTTACGTACCTCAAGTTTTAACGAAAACTATATTTGATATATGATATCATTTTTCCTTGATATTATACTTTTTCAACTCATTTAATGATATTAATTGCTTATACCACAACAATAACCAAAATATGTTCTCACTTGAATATCAGAGACTTGCGTGACTTCTTTAATTCTTTCAAATTGTTCCTCGAATTGTTCCAATTTAGAAGATACAAACGACTGTTGTTTCTGTAGGAGAATAATTCAAATGTTAATTAATATTTGAGAAAGCAGCATGTTAAAATGCTTTTATTTTCTATCCATTAAACGCATTTCACATTCCTATTTTTATGTGCTGTTTTACCCTTTTAAAAGCGAAATTAAAATATAATGATTTCGTACCGAAGTCCGTTGATGATGGTGTTTGAAGCATCTTTTATTAATTACAGTAATATTATAAATTTTTATGAGAACTATCATTTGAATATATTGCTTTTGTTTCACAGGGGCACTTAAAAAACTGGGGAGTAAAGAATCCTGTCGAGAAGTTTGTGATAAGAAATCTTTAGATCTGTATCATAAGATGTTTTTCTTCATCAAAATTGGAACAGAATCTTGGAAAACTCGTATTATCACTCAGAAAGTGTTCAAAGTTTTGGTGAAAGACAAGCACAATCCTTTGCCTGTTGGCCGGGATAAAATTCGTCTACCTAGTCTGGCTTAGACCAGCAAAATTAGTTACTGAGGTTAGATTAATTCAGTGAGAAAAATAAGTATGTGCTTAGGAATTCAAGGGTGCATCAAAAAAATTTTCCATGGCCGGTTTTACCAAGGAATGTATGGTGCAGCTAAACCAAGATTGACAGAGAAGGAATAGACAAAAGTATGCGTCATGTTTTAAAGGTAGGTGTGTGTGTGAGGGGAGAAGCACCGAAATATTTCAGAGGGTTAGGACTCTAAAAGTATTAATCCAACCTCTATTGGTAACAACAGAAACAAGATCATTTTAAATTGGATAATAATATTTAGCTATCGATAAAAGTAGGAAGAAATAAAAAGAAATAAAAATTCCTTTAGAGTACATAAGGAACACCTAAGCACCATATAAAACTTTTTTATTACTTCGTTAATGTCTTTGTTCTGCATTTCAGCTTCATGGTCTCCTCTTTCGAAGTTATATTTAGGTTTTGTAGATGCACTTGCGATTTGGTGTTCTTTTTCCAAAAACGTTTGCAACTTATCCTGTTGGTTTTCGTATTCTTTTTCTAGGTTTTGCAAAAGTGTGGGACGTGTTAATTGATTCTAGAAAAGTACAAAATACAATTTAGTTTATAAAGCAGTATTACATGCACTATACATTAATAAAATTCATAAAGTATTTAATGAAAAAATTTAGTTTCTGCTTCATTTGAAGAATACATAAAAAAACACTGGTAAATTTTCTGATAACTCAAACGAGCTGATAGGTCAATTAAAAAAATATGTCTTGGATAAATTTTAAAGTAGATTCGCAAAATCACTGGTGGTATACTCATATGAAATGCCTTCTACACGATGGAGCACAATCTCCTCGATATCACTGTTCCGTGTTGATCGTTCCTGATTCATGACAAGTTCTGTGGAAGGAACTACTCTCACATAGCTCTTGATGCAGCTGTGAAATAATTTGGCGGTTGGAATCAGATACCACGCACGACGGTTGCCTAGGACAAATACCAAAAAGTTCGCAGTCCCATACGTTAAATGTAAATCGGCATTTGTGTAATCAATCGGCCATAATATTAGTTCTGTTCGTGAATGTCGTTTTCCTACAGCGATGTTTCACAGTCCTATGTCTCTACTATGATGTTTACTGCGTGAAGATTATGTTTCCGATTCTGCATACCTATATGATTCTGATTTTTTTCTTTGAGAAACTTAGCCTTTCGTACTATGCCGAAATAGACTGTATAAACGGGATGTTGAATTATTGAGGCAGTCGTTAAGGAAAGGTACGCAAAAACAATTCTCTGAGTTACGATTCTTTTCACCACAAGTCTCTCAACTACCCCCCTGTTTTAATTTCGTAAATAGCTTTGAGTTCCCTGTTGTGACTGGTGTAATTATGTTGACATTTCTAACTTAAACAGTAAATCTACTTCTCCACCTCCAACCCCTAATGCTAAGGACTGTCAGGAACACTTATTCAAATATGGTTATTTTTTAAACTGGTTTAGTTCAACGCAACTGAATTTAATCAGCAAGTTTTCTTTTTATGGTAGTTTATTAATGGGAACTCAGAGTCAGTGGTAATGCACTGTTTTGCAACCAGAGAGCAAGAATCTTCACCAAGTGAGTAATAGTTGCATTGTTGTGATATTGTTCATAGAAAGAATATTAGCTTAATTTGTTCTCGGGTGCTGAGAAAACATAGAAGAGAAAGGCAGATCAGTTCCAAGAACAAAAATGTGTTACTGTTATAATGGAAACTTTTAAAACTAAGGAGAAAATAAAATAAAAAAAGAAATTTATGAAATATGAAAATATACTCTGACAAGAGGAATTACAATTATGTTTATAGGTTTTTCTCCTATCAACATACAGTAAAGAACTGTGCCCAAGGGAATATTATCGAACTTAAGCCAGTAGTGCAGAGGTAACGCTGATAAGTTATAGCATCGCGTATTCTTTGGAAACATAAACTAACGAGAGCTAGCTGATTGTGGGAGGAAATATCCTCAAGTCTTAAGCATGAAAAAGTCCAGAGAAGAGTGTAAACAACCCTTTATTAACTCAATATAAATTTCACAGAGGGCACCGACTCGTGCTAATAGAAGTCAATACTTTTGTATTAACTCAAGAAGTAACAAGTAACGTAAAATAAAATAGAATTAAATTAACCTAAAGGCCTTTCACAGGTTACTTAATGCGCAGGCAGGCTCTGACTTGTAAAAGTCGGCGTAAATAAGCCTAATGGATAGAATGGAAACGTTCAGCTCCACCGACAACTTCCTAAACTTTCCCTTAAATACTCATGTGAATACACGCGTGCTAACTCATTCTGGCAACAAAGCCTGGGTTGAAAACGAGAATAAAAGGCAAGTTGCTTTAAAATAAAGTTAACTGTTAGATAAATTAAATTCCAACAAAGTAATACTAATTATGTACATGATTGCATCAGTACATGCTAACTGTACATTTGATTGCACTGAATATATATGTACTTACTTTCTTTTCAAGAGCAAAACTATATAAGTCTTCAGAATTTTCTCACCTTCTTTTCTTATACTGTAATTTCTTAATAGTATTCAAGCCACCGATTTTGAGCTGAGGCTAAACTAATCTGTATTATTTAAAAAATAATTTGAACTAATTTCTTATTATTTTTCCTTTCTATTTTCAGCTCTGACCTTACTGTAGAAGAGTGATATTAAAATTAAGCAACTGCTAATATATGTAAATTTGAATTGAATAATGAGAGACTGATAGTTGCATGATTTTCGCTAATCTGCTTCAAACTAGCACACAATGTTCTCAAAAACGTTGTAATATCTATTAAGGGTTAAAAAAAACCCTTTATTAAACTTTTTAAAATTCACAATGCGTCGACTTGACGCTAACAAACTACGCCTCGCTCGGGTGGTAACTCAACAAAAAAAAAAAAAAAAAAAAAAGAAAACCAAAACAAAAAGGTAAAATAATCTTTATTCAATGTTGATTTCCTTCCCCCCATTTAGAACCTCAGTAATAAAAACCGCGTCGAAGACTCATCAGCAAAGAATAGCTGGTTAGGCCTTCCGCAATAAATGCAGAACCAGAAGCTTCACACTACAAGTTCTTGCTATTAGAACCCCTGAAACATATAAAAAAAAAGGGTAGAATTTGCTTCGACGATTAGAAATTAAAGGGGCAAATCGAGCAAAAGGAACCAAGTCAATTTATCACTTAACTGGTTATTCAAAATAAAATAAATCTCAACAAAAAAAAAAGAAAAAAGAAAAAACAAAAAAAAAAAAAAATAAAAAAGAAAGAAAGAAAAAAAAAAAGAAGAAAGAAAAGAAAAAGAAAGAAAAATCGAAAGTTTCAATTAAAATTACGACCAAGGGGGGCGTTTTGTACATTTAATTATGTACCAAAACATAAATTAAACAATGGGCAAATCTCTCTAGAACCAAGCACATTGAGTGGAAACAACAACTACGTAAAATAATTTAAAAGCCATATCTGGAAATTTCCGAGATCACAATCTCACGCTGGGGAAACAAATGTTTTTGTATGTACGACGTGCCAAGCTCGCTTTGAACCTTGAGTTTGTTAATTTGAAATTCGTAGAAGTTAGAAAATATGAAATTGATAATAAAACAATTCCAAATTCAAATTGGGGCTTCCAAATGCCCCTATTTCGCAGGTTGGTCATTCAAAAGTTTGAACGGCTCTAGGGACCAAAGTTTCTCACAACCGAGAAATAAAGAACAGGCAGATTCCTTCATTAATTCCGTCAAATAAATACAGGAAGACAGTATTTGGTGACACAGTTTGAAAGTGAACTGGCTTTTTCCAACGCAAAAGGCCAAACTAAAAACAGGGTCCCGTCAGGACAAAAGCCCCTTTAACGAAAAAGAAAAAGAAGAAGAAAAAAAGAAAACCTTCAGTAAAGAGTGTGTCACAAAATTGTCCGAGATATGATGATTGTAAGATTATTTAGATTAGTGAACTGATATTTTAAAACATTTTAAAACTCAGTAAAAACATTAAGCTATCTATTTAATCCATACAAAAACGAGTTTAACCTCAAAATAATCATAAAACTAAAAATAACATTACAGTAAAATCTTTAGTAACCACAGTATCAAAATAACGGTACATTTTTAGGTCTAAATTTAAATCCGAAATTTATGCCTATGAGATTTAAAAAAAAAAATTGCATCGGGCTAATAATTTGAAGCCTTAAAAGTTGAAAAAATTTGTGTTTTATTTCTGTCGCCCAACGTAATAAGCCTTAGCTAACCAATAAATTATCCAAAATATAAAGATCAATCAGCAGTCCCTTTTTATGCGCCGATATGTCCACTTTGAAAATAGCGTTTATGAATTTCCGAAACAATTTTACATTGAAAAACGCCATATTTACTTTGGCTCGGGCCTCGAAATATGTAAAGAATATTACTTTACGTAGTTGCTTTTCTAAATTGTGGCCTATGATCATGTTCATAGAGAACGAGTCAAGAGAAGAAGATTTATCTAGGTTTTAAAATACGTCCGCTAACCGTACGACATCTAGGATTTGCTTGTTCGGAGAAGATTAGTGTTAGCGAATAGGAGGCGCAGATTTATGCGGATGTAGACAATTATATTTCCATAAGACCCTCTAAAGATGACGGGGAAAAAAGACAAACTAAACATAGAAGATGGACAAGCAGGAGGAGATGATGAAAGAGAAATGAAATGAAAAAATGGAGCAGAACATTTGGGAGGAAGCTGACGAAGAAGTGGACATTTGTAATAAATTTTTCCTAGAAATGTTTAACCTGTGCACGCGGGATGTTATGAAACATCATTGTATACAAAGAGAATTTTTTTAATTCCGGAGACAGTCTCGGAAGCAAACATGCACTCGAAGTTATATGCCATTCACGTAAAGAAATTCGGTACTTATTGTACTAGGTAATTATAATAGTTGCTTTTTAATTTTTTCTCCGCTCTAAATGTTTTTTTTAATATTTAAATATTTTATTGAAATTTAAAAGATTTATATGTAAACATGGAGATTAGTTAAACATTTTTTCAAAAAACTAAATTAATTGACGCTGCAAATAAAGAGAATTTGGTAAAGTATCAATGACCATTATCATCAGAGTAAACATCGATTTCACTCTTTCGAAATAAAAGCACTACTGTTTTTAATGATTGGAAGAAAACAGATTTCTAACAGTCTGTAATATGAAATTGTCTTGGAAAAAGAATAAATAAGATACTAGGTATGCGGGTCACACTCCCGTGGCTCATTTTCAAAAGCTTTCTCACATTTAAGCCATTTCTTTGTAAGTTCTTTGTTGTACAGAATTGGCGAGTTGTAGTTCATTTCAAAAAAGCTACTGGCTTGGAAGATTCAAGCTTTTGCATCTTTCCGGAATTGATTCCTAATGGCACTAATTAACAACATAAATAATCATAAGATATGAAATTTGTTTTACAGTGCACGTAAGAAATTCATAAGCATCTTCAATTCTTAAATGCTAACAAAATAAAAGTACAGATTATATTTTTTAGAACTTAAGAATAAGTTGACTTATTATAACGAAAGTTCGTACGGAAAAATCAAA